CTGTGAGAAACAGAAACAAAAACAAAAGCACCTTTTTGTCAACTCCCTTTTATTCCAGACACAACTCCACTTTTTGCTCTTAAATTTTCTGCCACCTCCTCTCCTCCACAAGTGTCACAGGGATATGGGAAACAGGCTGGAGTCTGTTCATAATGCTTTACTCAAGTCACTCCTTCCTTCTCATACTACTTCCCTGCTCCAGCATGGATTTACTCTCACTGGACAGAGTCCTCCACAAACTGCTCCAATGTGAGTCTTTCCCAAAATGTTGCACTTTTTCAAGAAGTAATCTCCTGCTTAATGTTTTTCAGGGTTTTAATGCTGCTTACTCCTCAGGTAAACACAACTGCAGCATATTTTCTGAACTGCATCATTTTGGATTTAATGTTTCACTCATGAAGCTCTGCTAGGAAAATCCAGTCTGCCCTAAAGGAACAACTCCACCAGAGTGATGAGGTAGCTGAGTACTCATTGCATGTCCACACACCGCAGGATACCTCAAAGACAGAAAATGTAGAAGGATCCTAGAGACAAAAGGATTTTTGCTACATTATGAAGGAATTTTGTAGATCCAGATGCCAAAGAGTAAAAAAAAAGGCCCTTTCATGGGCTGGACAAGGAGATTGGCATGTTCCTGGCAGAGTAGTGGTGTAGAACTTTTGATACTGACTCACATCATTTTCCAGTGTAGGGCTGGGAAACTTTTCAATCAGGCAATGGCAGAGAGAGTGGCCTACGGCCTCTGGCTGTGCAAAGGCAGCACTTTTGTCATGCCTGTATTTGTGTCAGGATAATAGGGTCTTGAAAAAGATTTGGGTATTCAACTTTTTTTTTCCCTATCTTCAAGAAAAGGAGTCCTATCTCTAGTTTAATTATTAAAAATAACATATTGAGAACACAATTAATCCCAGACCAAAAATAACTACTCATGTAAGTTTTTCAAGACCAAAGACAGAAAAGAAGCACTTCCAGTCTGAATCTTTGCTGAATTCTGTGCTGTCATGACACTGAAATTATTTCATAAACTCATAAACTCCATTTTCTTATGACTAGCAAAAAGATTAAGGATTGCTTCCATGTAGGGACAAATTGGGATTGTCAATCCCAAGCATTCAAATAATTAAAATAATAAAGCCTTTTTCTACAGCACAAAATTTAAGGTCAATTACAACATCTGAAAATACTACTTTAATTTTACTATTAATGCCTTGGCCATTTTTTAAATAGTTTTCTCCACGTTCAAAGAGGAGAAAAAACTAATTTTAGGTGAAATCTGAAATGTTTATTCAATGATATATCAATGATTCAATGTTTTAAGAAATAAGGCTCTCCGTAAACTTGGTTTTCTAGGCACACTGCCACACACTGGGGCACACAGGAGGAGTCACACCGGGGCACACCGGGGATGCAGGGGCACACCGGGTCACGCTGGGCAGGTCCCGTGGAGGGGGGTGTCACACCCGGGAACATGGGGCACCCTGTGGCGTCACACCGGGAGGCACACCAGGGTACTCAGGGCACACCTGGGACACAGGGGCACACCGGGGCACGGGGAGCCATATCAGACACAGCGGTCATGCTGGGGAGTTACGCACGTCATAGAAGAGAGGGGCCACACTGGTCACATGGAGGGGTCACACCGGCTGGGTCACACTGCTCACACCGGAGGGGGTCCCTAGGGGGTCACACCGGGGGGAGTTCCCCAGGGGTCACACTGGGGGGGGTCTCCAGAGGGTCACACCAGGGGAGTTCCCCAGGAGGTCACACGGGGTCACACCGGGAGGGGTCACATCAGTGGGGGGGGGTCCCCGGGGGGGTCCGCAGGGGGTTACGTCACGTCACGTCACGTCACGTCACGTCACGTCACGTCACGTCACGTCACGCCCCGCCCCGCACGCGCCGCACGCCCCGCCTCCGCCGACCAAAACATTGGCACGTGCGCCCCCGGGCGCCTGTCACGTGACGCGGCCGGGCGGAGACGGCCCCGCCCCTCTGCCCAATGGCGGCGCGCGCTGCCGGGTAGCAACAAGCGCGGCGGGCGGCGGCCAATCAGCGTGCTGGGGGCGTGGCCACCGCGGCCCATGGTACTTCCGGCAACAGCCCCGGGCTCGGGCCGAGAGCCGGGCGGGGAGCGGCGGGGACGGTACCGGGAGGTGAGCGCGGCCTGGCCCGGCAGTGGGGTCGGGAGGACGCCTGTGGGGCCGCGTGTGTGAGCCCCGCAGGCCGGGGCTGTTGGGGCTGAGCGTGGGCAGCCGTGGTTTGAGGGGTTTGGGGTTGGCTCTTAAGGGCATATGGAGCTGAAGGAGTGTGGGACAGGGCGTTAAAAATCAGGTTGAGTAGATGGGTCTGGAGCGAGGAATGGCGGGCAGCACTGAGGGGTCTGGAGGGAGGTGTGTGGAGCCTGCCTGGACGAATGGGGTGTTGGGATCTCTGTGTGAGGATTGGAGCGAGCATAGCTTCACTGGGGGCAAGTCCTGCCTCACAAATCTGATGACTTTCTGTGGTGAGATTTCAGGGTTGGTGGATGAGGTCATACGGGGTCACACTGTGACTGATGCAATTTGCCTGAATTTAAGAAAAGTATTTGACATTGTCCCACACAAAGTCCTTGTCACTAAATTGGAGAGACGTGTTTTTGACAGATGGACTGCTGTGTAGATAAGGACCTGGCTGGAGGGTCATTCTCAAAGAGCTGCAATCAACAGCTCTGTGTCCAAGTGGAGACGAGTGACAATGGACATTCTGGGGGGGGTGGAATTGGGACTGGGCCTGCTTAACATCTTTGCTGGGGACATGGACAGTGGGATTGAGTGTATCCTCTGCAAGTTTTTCGATGGCACCAAATTGTGTGGTGCAGTCAACAAGCTGGAGAGAAGGGATGCCATCCAGAGGGACCTTGACAGGACAGAAATGAGCGTGTGCAAACCTCATGAAATTCAGCAAGGCCAAGTGCTGGGTCCTGCAGCTGGGTCATGGCAGTCCCAAGCACAAGTACAGGATGGGTGAAGAATGGATTGGAAACAGCTTTGAGGAGAAGGACTCAGGGGTATTGGTTGACAAGGAGCTCAAGGAGTCAGCAGTGTGCACTTGCAGCCCATAAAGCCAAAAGTGTTCTGGGCTGCGCCAAGAGAAGTGTGGCCAGCGGGTCAGGGGAGTTATTCTGCCCCTCTACTCTGCTCTCCTTATGTACCACCTGCAGGGTTGCATCCAGCTCTGGGATGCCCACCATAGAAAGGCTGTGAACGTGTTGGAGAAAGTCCAGAGGAGCTGGAGCACCTATCCTATGAACACAGGCTGAGAGAATTGGGATTGTTTAGCCAGGTGAAGAGAAGGCTTTGGGGAGACCATAAGAGCAGTCTTCCAGTAATTTAAAGGGAGGCTACAAGAGAGCTGGAGAAGGACTTACAAGGGCACATAGTGACAGAATAGGGTAGAATGGCATCAGACTGAAAGAATGCAGGTTTAGGTTAGGTTTCAGTAAGAAGCTCTTTATTGTGATGAGGCACTGGCACAGGTTGCCCAGAGGAGTGGTGGGTATCCCATCCTTTTTAGTGTTCAAGGCCAGATTGGATGGGGGTCTGAGCCACCTGGTTTAGTGGAAGGTGTCACCCAGACTGGGTGATCTTTAAGGTCCCTTCCAACCCAAACCATTCTGTGATAAAGACACCAGTATGAGAGAAGTACTAAACAACTTGTTGTGGTTCATATTATTCCTAGGAAGCAGTAAAAGGATTGGAAAGGCAGATAGGCATGAATAAAGTTTGTTGCAATTGGGGGAATGAATGTTGTAAATTTTAGAAAAGGTTCTTCTTAGGAGCAGAGGAAAGCTGAGTTATTAGTAGAAAGAGGACTTTAGTCAATCCTGAGATCCATGCAATGCACTTCGTTTTGCATGCTGTGCAGATTTTTAAATAAAGAAAAATCCAGCTGGCTCACTCAGCCTGTTTTTTTTCTGATATTTTATCCTGTTCTAACAAATACATTGAGCAAATGCTGGTCAGGAATGCAAGTGTTTAAATAAATTCATAGTTATGTTTACTGATGGGACCTAATATTTTTTTAAGTTGAAAAAATATTAGAAAATGCATATTTGTTAGGACCAAAGCTGTTACTGGTATATATTAACATGTGTTTCAAATATGATAATGTTATCTTCCCTCTATAGCTTGCATGTGAAATCTCTTGTTAAGCTAGGGAGCAGTCGGTTTGTGTGATGAATGGGAAGAAGAGGGCAAAAGCTGGCAAGGTTATAGTCTTTAGAGTGTAGAAAACTGCCTAGTTCAGATTCTTAATGTGTCAGAAGTGAATCTTACTTTTGAAAAATGGTAGCAGAACACTGTTTGAGCGATATACCTGTGAATATCCTGCATCTATTTGTAGGAATTTGTCCTGGTATCTGCTTAATAGGCTGGCATGGGAGGTGACCCTCAACAACAACCTAAAAAGATTTTTGGGAATGTTAAAATTCCTTTACTGAAACATCACTACACATTGTACTATAAACCCAGTATTTGTAAGGATTAGAAAAAACAAAAGGAGCAACATTGATTTTGTGAGCTGTCAATCTCTTTAAAACCATTTATTAGTCACATATAAAAATCAGTAATCTTTTTGATCGTGGCAAAGTAGATTACAAATTATGTAATTGATATAACTTTGCCTTTTTTAGTATCATTCCATTCTTTGACTACCAGGATTCTTTTCCTTGTTCTTTGGAGAACAAGGAAATCTACTTTGAGCTAATAAATGCTGAAAAACAAGAAGAACATGGTTAGAAAATAAAAAATCTGATAAATAAAATAATAATAAAGATAAAAACCACCGAATCTGTTTCTTAAAAGGATGCTCCACAGAGAAGTTTCCTCAAGGTGTGTATATATACATATATATATATATATATATATATATATATATATATGTATGTGTTTTATTAAGGCTAAAGAGAAAACTGAAATAATGACAGGAAGTTTTGAAACTTCTTAAAATAAATAATAGACAAAGAATCTCTTCTTGTTGCTTGTAGCGAAACCATGCCATTTTTGGGCCAAGACTGGAGATCCCCTGGATGGAGATGGGTTAAAACAGAAGATGGATGGAAAAGATGTGAACCCTTTAGTCCTGCACTTGAGGATGGGAGTAATCAGCTGAATGATATCAGCCACACTGTGTAAGTTTAAAAAAGAAAGTGAGTCTGCATGAATTAATCGCAGGTGGGAAGGAAAAATTGACTTAATTTCCATTCAGATTGCAATTGTTTGTGTAGCTGGTGTCATCTGTATACAAATGCAGTCATGTGTTTTGTTAGTTAGGCAGGCGGGAGATTCCTGTGGAGATTCTGTCTTTTTTCACTGCTTTGTGAGTTGTTTATTTAAGGCAGCCAGATCCCTTCTTACCCTTTATGTCTTTCAAAATAATAATACAATAAATACTTTTAAAAAAAACCAAAAAGCCCTGCTCCCCAATGCCTGTTGAGTAGTATTTAAAGGTAAATGTGACACTTGTAAATTGCAAGTACAGCAGGCATATTGAACTCTTATCTGGAAGTAGATGAAGTCTTTCTGCTGAGTGGGTGTTGGATTCATTTGTGGCAGCCATAAAATGCCTTTGCTCCAAATACACAATCGGTGGTAGCTTAATGCTCGTTCTCTAACACAATATATGAGTGTATGTGCTCCTGTAGGACAGGTGAGGAAGAGCTCAGATAAATAAAGTAATACTTGTGGCAAATGCTCACAGACTGGTGTGACATAAATCGCTTTGTCAAAACAAATTTCTCCACAAAGAAGTAATTATCAGGAATAGCATTCTTGGTCATAAATTCCAGCATAATGTGCTCATAATGAGGAAAGGGAACATTCAGTGTTTTGTTAGTCCAGTAAATGATAACTCATCTGGTTTAGAGAGGGAATTTACTGGGAAGCTAGGACTTGCTGTAGTCACACACCTGTTTTCTAAATTTGTGAAACAATCCTCAAGGGAGTTATCAAGCAGTGAAGCATTATTATTAAGCTTAACCTACTGTTTTCTTCATGCCTTTTTTGCTTTTGTGTTCATCTGTCACTGATCTCATTTGGACTTTTTTATCCACACAGTCTGGCCACCGTGGATACAAAACTTTGTCTGGAAGAAGGTTCAGTAAGCCTGCAATATAAAAGTTGCCTTAAATACATTTGGGAAAAAAAACCCACTTCTCTCTTTCATATATTTAATAATATACTTGACAAATTAAGGGAAATCTAATAATTATTTAGCAACTGTGAAAATTGCTTCAAAAATAAGTAACATGTAGATTGCTTAATTAATACTGTTTGGTAAGTATGAAAGGAATTATCAGTCTTTGTGAATACCATTAAAACTTCTGCTCATAATTGTATGTGTCTATAAATGTGTATATATATATCTTTTCCCCGAAGAGCAAGGTGAAGTGTTTTTATTTCTTCTTTGAGCAGAAATACTGGATTGATTTTTAATTTTTTTCCTCCTTAGTCTTGGACACCCTGGAATTGAAATCTTCTGGAGCCAAAAATTGTGGCTTTAATTTTTGATTCTTAATTTTGTTTCTGTCTAAAATTTATATTCAAACTCAGACTAGAGAATTCAAGTTGATATGTCTTGGCATAGTAGCACTACTTTGAAGTAATTTCACTACACTTTTAACTTTAGATCTCTGATTACAACTTGAACTTTTTATATGCCATTTAAGTTCTGCTGCTAAACTGCAATTAATGTCTATTTACACAACATTATGGAACAATTTAGTGTGGAAATGACCTCTGGGCATCATCTGGTTGAAACATGTACTCAAAGCAAGGCCAGCTGAGGTTGGGTTCTGCAGGGCCTTGCCCAGTTCAGCTTTGTGGTTTTCCAAGAATGGAAGTTCTTCTCTGAGCTCCTGTTTTAAGTTCTGTTACTGTCAATGTTATTTTGTTGTGTGTTGTTGTGTCATTTCTCCCTGCCCTCCTCAGTCTAGTAAGAATTTCTCTTATCACAGATTATGTCCATTACCACTTGACTTACCACTGCCCACCTCCTCCAACCTTACAGTCTCACTCCATCTTATTTATAGCCTCATATTAGAAACTGACAGCAATCAGATCTCCCTCCACCACCAGCTCTCAACACTGAGCAAGGTCAGTTCTTTTACCCTTGTGACTCCCCACTGGAGTTGTTCCAGTATGACAATGTTTTGATTGTATTGGGGAGCCCCAAACAAGACACTGCAGATGAGTACTCATACCAAATAAAGATGGATGTTTGCTTCTTTCAGTCTGCAGGATACACTTTTGATAGCTCAAACCAGGGTGCAGTTGGTTTAACACAACACAAGGGCACACTGCTGACCTGTTTTCAGCTACTTATCCTCAAGACTCCTGGCTCCTTTCCTGCAAAACTGCTTCCTAGCTAGTCTGTACCCAGCATATACCCAGGCTTGGAGTTCTTCTATGTCATGGGCAGGGCTTCACATCGTGGTACAGCACAGTAAGATGGGTTGCTGGCTGGTTCTCTGTACCATCTTATGCTATTTGGAAATAATTATGGGGCATATTGAGGATAAATTGGCTTATGAAATTTGTTAACGTGATATAGCACTAAAAAAAGAATGAGTGTTTCTTTGTGGAAGAAACATACAGTAAACGGTACAAAAATACCTATTTGTCTCTCTTTAAGGTGCCTGGTGAATAGGGATGGTGGTATATGCCAGTCTGGCAGTTCTAGCAGGGTTTTGTTCATTTACATCCATTATAAGGAATAAACTTTTTCATTAAAATGTTCTGTAGGAATCTCTTCTGAAGGCAGTACTTTAGTATAGGGTTTTTAGGGAGCAGTTACAGCTGTTTTTCTCTATAAAGAAATAAATTTAAGCTGTGTAGTTGATTGAAACTCTGCTTTTGCTTCTATTCTCTTCTGTGAGAGATAATGTAGGTAGATTTGCTTGCCAAACTTTGTCCTTTACCCATTAAAAATTCTTTCTCTTCAGAAATTACAAAGATCTAATCACAAACAGATTCGGAAATAAACCTTAAAGACACATAAATTACTTGAAGAGTATGTTCTTATTAAAATAGAACTAACTTTGCTTAATTAGTCATCAAATGCCTTAGTGAATCCAGCTGCTGAATTAGTAAAATTGAGGGACCTAATGGTAACCATACTTGAACAGATATAATCACTTGTGCAGGAACAGTTTTAATTATTTGGCATAATGCCTGAATAGTTGCCCTTTAGATCTTTTGATGGAATCTAAGCTAGAAAAAAACTGAGACAATCACTTCTGTAGGTCTTAGTTATTTGCATAGGAGTGCCTTGTGTTGAAGGTATCTAGTAGCTGGAAATGTGGCTTGGGCTGTGTGTATTCTGTGGTGTGAATGCTGGCTATGACTGCCTATAAATTCAAGCAAAGATAGGCACTTCCAGTGCTGTGACACTGTGTTCTTGAAATTTGGTGGTGGAGAGAAGTTTGGAGGGGGTGGAACTGCCTTACAGAATTGTATGCAAGTGGCTTTCAGTGGCCTGCAACTTTGGAGTAAAGCTGTCTTATCCTTTTGAGGTAAAAGAAAGAGAATTAGATTAATAAGATTTTCATGATGGTGATATTTAATTTTTTTTGTGTTAGGTTCATATGAACTACTTGCTTGGGCTGGCAGGGTAGTCATTTCAGTCTGCAGTGTCTCTTGTCTAATTCTGTGAGGTACAGCGTTCACAAGAGTGATTTTTGGCACTGGATAGAAGTGCTTTGATTTGAATCTATTAATAGATAACATTGCAATATATCTGTCAAATGACAAAATCATTTAGCTCAGGATTCATGCCCTTAGCTTAGGTTTTTCCATGGTCAAGCTGCAAGAGTCACTTCTGAAATACTCAGTGTGTCTCTGTATATAATTGCATGGCTTGAGGGCCATATGAAAAGAAGCAAGGGGATGAGGGAAAATAGTTGGAGCTCAGATAGCCCTGTCACATTTTCCATCATTTTAAGTGTCATACCCAAGAGGTTATTTAAATACCACTATGAAATTACTTTTTTTGGAAAAACTGATATTGTTACGTGATTTATCTAAGATATTATAGTTCTAAGGACACCAGGTACTTTGCTTTTAAAAGCTTTAGAATAATTTTTTATGAAGTGCGTCATCAAGACAAGAGAGTAAGAATAGCTGTAAATTGGCAGTATTATGTATATATTTAAATCCTGTTAGGTGCACTCAAATGTCACGTGCAGTATTATAATAAAAAACATTAAATTGAGGCTTCTGTTACACCATATGGCACATGCAGCACTTGATTTGGTTTCTTCTATCTTAGCTTGGTGTTTGAGGGGGCAGGGGTTGCTTTTGGAACAGCAGAGCAGCTTTATGACTTGTCAAGCAGCTCTGCAGGTTTCTGAAAGGAATGGTAGCAGTCTCTGAGTAACTGTATTTCTGTCCCATTCTTCTAATGCCTATGGGACCCTTGCTTTCATTCATTGCTTTCAGACTAAAGGTTTGTCAAGAAGAGTGGTGGTGTTTACAGATGAGTAGGGAAAGGCTATGTGAAGTGGGACAGAACATGAGGAAATAAAGCCTCATATCAGAAGATCCTAAGAGGTAACAGTCCAATTTGGCTTTTCTCTAAAGAGACTTGAGGAGTTCAAGTTGTGTCACAGGCAAATTCGAATGCTAGACAAAAATGTTTGAAGTAAGTCTTCATCTTCAAAATTCCTTATGTTAATTGACTCCTTAAGCTGCCTTAGTTATTTGTATGATGCTTGAGGAAGTATATCATATGGGGTATCAGGAGTGGGCTTTCAAATCACTTCAGGTATGTTACTGGCCTAAATTACTTTCTAGGGAGACACTTTGATCCAGGACCAAAAGAAGGAATCTTTACATATTAACCTTCCTCTTCTAAGCAGGCCTTCAGGAACGTAGCCTCCCATCTTCTCCCCATTGCTTGTCCTGGGTTGAGGGGAATGAAAGAGTTTCTGTGCTGCTTAGGTTCTGATATTCTGCAACATAACCCATCTCCCTAGTCTTGTATCTGTTGTTAGGATGGTAAAGATCTGGGAGCTTTGGGCTCAATTTCTGTTTCTGTAGCAGCTCTTCAGCTTCTGCCATAGCTTCTGCCATGATGTGGTGATGCAGCCAATATGTTAAGTCATAATTAAATTAATTTTAGTGAGTTTAGAGATTTCTTCTTTGATAGCTTTAGGGGGGAAAACAGACAGCTCAAACTGATGGATTGGAATGTTACATAATCAAATAACTTGTGTTGATGTTTTGCTTTTGTCAGTTGCTTTGCTTTTGTCTCTTGCTGGTTTCTTCTCTCTGAACTCTTTTGCTGTTTGACCAGATGTGATATTTGGCACCAGTGCATAGAATATTTAAGGTATTGAGTCTTTATCCCTGGCTTTAAAAATATTAAAGACTGAACTAAGGCCATCACCTTAGATTGAGCACTGTCTGAATGCAGAGGTATGTTAGGTTTAAATCATGAAAAAAAAAAAGCTAAGATGAAACCAACTTTCTAAATCATCTTGTATATCTTTAAGCTGAGCTTGCATGTACTGATTAGGACAATTCAAAAGGCAAAAAAAATTTACAGTGTTGTTTAATAGGTGGTTCAAACCTGAAAATTTTAACTCTGTAAGCTGGTAGCAATAGACTAAAATAATTTGATTTTTGTCACTTAATGCCCAGAATACAGGTTATTTTGGAAAAAACAACTGTTCTTCAGTTTACAGTGCTCATTTGTTTTAATCTGAAGTTCAAACTGACAGTGATAAAAGCAATTTAGATTAAAAATGGTGATGAATCTGAGGAGTTTCATATACAACTTTGTTGCCAAAGAGCGGTAATGTAGAAATAAAAAAGTTCCCCAGTTAAACTTCATTACCATATATCCTTCATTATTCTTATCTGTGCAAGACCATGGCCTTCATATGAAGTATCTTCCTTCTCAGTGATAGAAAAGAGAACACCCATTCTTATCTTTGTTGCTGGCCCTTATTATCTGCAAAACTGGAAAGAAAATTTTATGAAGCTATGTAGATTTCCTGTAGCACAGACAGTTTTTAAATGCATATGCATTTTAAAAATGTTAGCTTGTCAAATAATATTCTCAATAATTTTTGTGTCTTTTTTAGTATTCAAACTATATGTTCAGTACAGGTAAGTATTTGGTATATTCCTCAGTGCTGTGTTACATAGTTAACTGTCAGAAGTAACATAGGTAGAGTTGAGTCTCTCTGGCAGAGACAGACCACTTGGCTCTTGATGCTGTGCAAATCATGGGTAAAACAGTGCCATGACACCTGTAGTATGTACAGAATTGTGAATCAAGAGTTTCCTAAAAGAAGGACTTTCTTTGCCCCAAAGGTGTCAGTAATGAGAGATGTTGTCCTTTGGTGGCTTTCTGCCTATGCAAGGATGTGATGTGCAAAAGTTCTTCAGAGGCTTGTTACCTGTGTGCAGTTAAGGCTTGGTCCACTTCAAATAATGGGTTTTTGTACACCAGGACTTTGCAGAGTTTTGAAGTTGTCCAGCTAGTTCTGTCTCCTTTGCAGTCCTTCCTGAATGTCAGTAATGACTTAGAAGATACCTCTTAGATACTTTTGTGTATTTAATCACTTTGGCACAAAATTCAATCCCTTTGGGAAGAAAAGAAGACAGCTTCTCTCCAGATACATGTTGCTATAGACAATGAGGTAGAATATCTTAATTAAAAATATGATTTCTTTTTTTTCAGCTGATAGATTTTAATGCAGAAAATTGTAAGCTGTATGCATCTAAATATTTAATTACTGCTATTCTAATTAGGTGTTTTTATTTCAGTATCATAACTGGGGATGATGAGAATGAAGAAGTCTACAATACTGAAGACTGTGAGTTTGCAGCCAAGAAAAGGAAAAAAGATCATTTTAGGAATAACACAGATTCACAGTGTAAGGCTGAGTATTTTCATTTATTTTAGAAGACTCATGTAGGTTCAGAGAAATGTTCTAATAGGCATGTTATAGTCACCTATACAGTAGCCTTCCAAATTATGTCTATTTCTGTATTGGCAACAAATTCTGGTGTCAAAAGTGATATGTCTTAATTGAAACTGTGTTATCAATCACTTATTGTGTTGGTTTTTTTTTTCAAAGACCCAAAGGTAATTCATTTAAGAATAGTAATTCCTGAGTATTAGGTGTCTTCTGATACTAACCATGGTTATGTTTTGTGGACTTTTAGATTAAATTCTTCTGCATGCTTGTGGGAGCTTCTGCTTCCCAAAGCAAATGGTTTAATTTTGTTTAATTCAAGATCTAATTAGTCATACAACTCCAGAATAAGTTGTTAAATACATTTTGTCGTAATAACCATATCTCTTGATAAAGATTTTATCAGTAATTAATTTCTTGGCAAGAAGTCCGTTTTAAAAAATTAAAATATGAAAGTCATTTTATGAGTTCTCATTTGTAAATATCCCCAAAATTATTAGAGAGATGGTGTTGCAGAAAGCTGCAAGCTTCTCCAGGCTAGTCTGAGTTTCAGGAAGATTCAGAAGATTCAAGGGGCCGTGTGTCTCATTTGACAACATGGGAGACTTGTAAAAGCTGAAGGTCAGCCTGGTTGCCTTTATTAGTCTTGTATCTTTGACTTCCCTGCAGTCCTCTGCAGTTAGTTGAACCAAGTCAATGTAGAACAGGCACCTGTACAGAAGAAAATAGATTAAAGAGGTGAAGTGGTCAGGATCAAAAGCATTGTCTATATCTGCTGTACTTTCAAATGCTAAGGAGCCTGTTGTATAAAAAAAAAGTTAGGAATTATGTAGGACCACTGTTATGTCTGTGATTGGCCACAGCTGACAAAAGTTGTCATTCATCTGCCATTTGTGTGCCAACTCTTGTTTTAAAACAACGTTTATGTAACTTTTCTATTATTTTCATGAACTCCATAACTTGTGAAAATTTTTAGTTATTTTTCCAGCCTTTATAAACTTCTTTCATTAAAACTGTTCTGCTATCTTATGAAGCGTTTCATTGAAAATTGTATGTTTAGTTGAGTTTTTCTGGAAGGTATTAACTAATGTGGAACTCTAAAATGCTTATATTTTGATTTTATTTTAGGCTTTTATCGTGAAAAGTGGATTTATGTTCATAAAGAAAGCACCAAGGAAGTAAGTTTGCATGGTGTGGGTCAAGTCCTAAAATCTTCGTGGTTCTTAATTGATAGACAGTATATTGAAAAAAGTATTTTTGCCATGTGGTCTTAGGGGCTATACATAACTCTCTTCATTGGCAACACTGGACACCTGCACATGGTGAGGCACAGGCAGCTGGCAAAGTGAGTTATAGGTAGGTCTTTGTGGCACAGATGTGGGAACTTACAAGCACAGACATACAGTTCTCTGCTACTTATCCAAGCCCATCTATCTTTCTACTGTCTCTGAACTAAAATTGAAAGTATTTGCAAAACCAGAGAAATACCCCCAAAGAAGTTGCTTGCAGGCAGCCACCTGATATTTTGGGATCTTGGTGTAAATCTGAATGGAAGTAAGTAAAACATCAGTTTGAAACTTTACAAAGAGGATCTTTATTTTCAACAAAGTCCACATGCTTTCAGTTTGGGATATAATCTGTACCATGTACATGTAAAAGGAATATGAAAGCTCTTGGACTGACCTCTTGGAAAGTCAGGAGTCAAAATACATCCATTGTATGTAGAGATTAAACTGTCTTGAAGTGTGAGTTTCATTCCTATGCTGATTGCCATGGCTATCTAGGATGTGTGAGACTTGAGCACCAGTAAGGAGGTTTTACATCCACATGGTAATGACAGCCAGGAGAGGGGAAGGAGGTGAGGCTGATAACTGCAGTCATGCAGGCAAAAGTAGCTTTGCATTTTAGAGCTGAGAGAGACAGTACAGAGCTTTCTTCTCAGGAAGGGCATGCTATTGATGAGAGCTTTCATAAAAGGACATACTGCAAGACTTTGCAGACCTTGTAGACCAGTGACCCAGAGACTGCCTGCATCTGAAGGGTACTTTGAAGACTTTCACCAGATTGACAGCCCTCTTTCTGCTGTATCTTCTAGATGAGGTTACTTAGATTGGTCTGCAAAAGTCTCAAGATGCTTTTTCCCTTTGTGCCATCTCAAATTAGGGTGAGGAGGAGCAGGGGGCAGGAGACTAGTACCAGTCATTGTGGGGCTTTGAATGATTAGGGTAAGCTGAGGTTTCAAACTACATTGAGGCCAAAATACAAATAGCCTAAAATCATGCATTGGTGTCCACCATAACCCATATATATATATACTCATGCAGAAGTTGATGTACTAGTGATGTGTGAATATTTGCTTTTGTTTCTTGTCCATTCAGACAGCGGACCAAATATTTTGGTTACTTTCTAATATTTGACCATTCATCTTTCAGGTTTGTTTGAGTTTTTTAATATAAAAAAGAAACCAGGGATGGTTAGAATTAAACACTAATCTTTCAAGTAATTCTCTGTATAAATTTAAAAGCTTAGAGTAGTAGGTTAAGAAAGTAGCAAGGAATAAGAATACGTGAATCAAGAAATTCAGAGCAACAATTTAAGCTAATCTAAAACATGATTTAGAGGCTCTAGTTTTTCTTACAGATTCTAATATTTCTTGATTTTCAAATAGCAGTCTCACAACTAGGAAACATTTTTCCCAAACTGGATACTGGTTTTAAGAGCAAAATTACAAGATAGGAAAGTCTTGATAAAAAACACGTGAAACATGCTGTGGGAGAGCATTGAAATAAAAGAAAACCAAACCAAGTGAATGCATGTGGGTGAAATGAAATTGGAGATTTTTTTGAATAATTTTGTCATGATGGTATACTGGGAAAGGCAAAGCTGTAGTTTCACAGAAATCTGTTCAGGGAAATGTCTTTTATGTTCATGTTTTAAGCGTGACGTAATGATAACTCTTTAGCCAGAGAACAGCCACAAATATTTAAATTTCAACGGAAATTTTGTTGATCATGTGTTAATTCACTCCTATTAGCTAAGCAAGGTGTGCATATTATGAAATGTGCAGTGTTTGGGTCTGAGGAATGTCAGTTGAATGAGCAAGCAGTACAATCCTGAATTTGGTCATTAACCAACAGGCAGTAATCACCACCACTCTGCAGTGATTTCTTAACTGTCCTATCCCACTGGGGTGCATGCCGGGAAAGCATTCACTGGGTTGCAAAAAGGAACATTATTTGTACTTCAAAATTTGTCACCATCCCATAATTGGCCAAGAAAGTCTGTCTAGGAATGAGCTTTAAATAATTATTTATCCCCCTCCTTCTTTGGGCTAATAAAACCATAGTAGCACACTGCTCTGCAAGACTCTATTTTACCTAGCCTCACTTTATTTGATCCTGGGTTTCAGTATGGCTTTGTGGCTGTAAATGCACTGAGCTAACATAATCCCATGTAATTTTGGGCTGCTGCTACTACCTTAAGTTGTTCTCAACAGCCTCTGAAACTTCCATTTTCACATTAGGATGTGGAGAAGTACCAAAAGAAAAAGCAATTGCTCTTGGTGCATAAAAATAAAAGTGCCTAAGCTTCTAGCATCTGGAAAATAAATTTTAGATGTTGAGACTGTTTGTTCTTCTGATCCCAGAAGCAACTAGCTGTGTTCTCACCCTCAAGTGTGAATCGGATAATTCTCAGAATTGTAGGCTCAGACAGCTGTACAAGCAAGCTCTTGCTTGTGCATGGCAAATGGGGACTGTGATAGCCATGAGGGAGTGCCAGCATTATGGCCATGCAAGAGTGGATTAGATTCCCAAGGAAATCAAATACAAGTGATGCCAGATTACACATTTAGTATGAACTGAAAGGCCTTGCCTACATACCTGATAATTACAAATAGTGTATCTGGTTTCATTTAATTTCTTGTAGAATAAGTAACTCTTTGGTCCAGAGGCACTATATTTCCAGGGAGCATGGTATCTATTAGCATCAGCTGCGTGTCAGAGTGCTTTTCTGAATGTTTTACTCAATTTTGTCTTTGTTTCCTTCCATTTAAAGTGTATTTTTTTCGCCTTCTCAGAGACATGGCTACTGCACCTTGGGAGAAGCCTTTAACCGCTTAGACTTTTCAAGTGCGATTCAGGACATCAGGAGGTTCAATTACGTGGTCAAAGTAAGCTCTTTCTTTATATGCATATTTTAAAAATGCATTCACTGATGTGCCTGCATGTACAAAAGGCACTGAACAGATGATGATTTGTAATTGTATAAATACATTGATCGTATGCAATTTATAATGCAAGAAGCAACTTTAAACTGAGTAAATTTTATTTGGTGAAAATTCATTATATGGCTGTCTGAAAAGCCTGTAGCTTTCAGAGGATAGCCAGTGTGCTGTGTTATTTAGAGGGAAACATTTATGGTAGTTTCAATTTTTGTTCATCAGTTTGGGTAATGAACTCTCTTTAAAGGTAAAATAATTTCTCTACAACCAAATACAGCAAAGTGTTATTAATCTTAAATGTAATTTGCTACATCTCAAATATATTTCAAATGACAATTTCCAGAATACTTGATATGTAAATTTTTTGCAGTTTCTGTATCTTCTGTTACTTCTTACCAGTCCTGTGATTCATTGCAGGTTTGGGTTTTTTGTTTTTTATTTTTAAATCAAGGACAAGATATCTATGCATTTATCTTTGTTAACATTCCTTAAAACTTGAGACTCCAGCCTTAATTACCTTAATGCCTCACCAGGTGCCCACTTGGAAATGCCTGTTTTGGGGATACTGATCTCTTTCTGGCCCTAGGTTTATTTTATTATATAACTTGACATAGTAAAGTGCATGTCTCAACTCCTATAGAAGCTCAAAATGTGAGTCATATCAGGACTATAGTTCTATTCAGTGATGAGGCTGTTCACAAGTATTGTATTTCTTGGAATGCATCCAGAACTTGAAAAGAAATAAAAATTAAATAAACATACTGGGAGAACACCCTGACCACTAGGCTGTGGACTATTTGGAGAGAAAACACATTCTATCCATCCCTGGGATGCTGAGCCAGTGTATTGTACTTTAAGAAAAACAAGAGATCTGGAAACAAAGCAAAAAGGATTTGCTTCAAGGCTAGTGGTTAGCGTCCTTGCCTGGTTTGCTCCCCTGGCAGGGTTTGGGGTTTTTCTGGTATATGTATGTGTTGTGGTTTAGAGCATTACTTTTTAATGCTGTTTTGGGAGCAGAATCAAGAGCCTTGGTCGTTCCCGAGACTCTGCAGCCTTAGAAAAGGTGATTTGGTATAAATGGTGTCAGCCTTGGGTGCCTCACTTAAACAGCAAGCAGGTAAAAGGAATACAGATCTAGAATTTTGCATTTGTTTTAGATGCTGCAGGGCCTAAACTGTGTTGCTCAAAACAGTTGATCAATTTAAAGTCCAGCATAAGCACCTTGACCAGTTTTTCTTCTGTTCACCAAGAAATATAAAATATTGATTTAGTCAGCTAGGCTTAAGATCATTGAGGACGGAGCAGTTTGCAATCCAAACCGAAACTACTAATAGCAGACCCTAAGAAATCTGGTTGAACTTAAAATATAAAATAGATAGACTTTCAAAGTCCTTTAAATGTTTCAGAATTTATTTGTAAATTTAAAATTGTTTTACAAATACAAAACTTTAATCATGTCTTTGCATCAGTTCCTCTGAAGTTCTGGCTGTTCGTTGATAGCAAAGTAAAATCAAGAATTCTATTTTAAAAAATCAAACCCTACTCTAGCTCTTCTTTGATCCCAGACCATCAAGGTGATTCTCCAACTAACAAAAAATATACCATTCGTTATTAATAGTTAATATTGATGTCTGTCCAGCACCCTTTTAGGATGGGCAGTGAGGGGAGAAGGTAGGATCAGTTAGTTATTTATATTTGTTGGTGCTGTAGTGTATTGATAACTTTGTAGCTGTTAAATTCTGATACATTGCATTTGATATGGGTGGATTTTGTCCAAACGCTTCTGAATAAACATGATCCATTCAAAGTTATAGTCTCTAGTAGAGGGCATATGCCATGGCTCTGCATACATCAGCGTGTGAGGTACTTGTACTCCCTGCTACCTTGCTTTTGCTAAAATTGTCTTAATCCTTGCATATTAACTTTCACTGAAGTTGGAATCTTCATTAAAATCTTGTCAGGTGGAATTTGTTTCTTTCATTTGATCTTTAGACTGAGTGACATAACTGATTTTTTTTTATTATTTTTTTTAAATTAATCAAGAGAAATGTACCTACTTTCTTGAACTGGCAGACTGCCAGAGACCTCTAGGTGTATTCTAAATTATTAATCAATTTAATAGGCTTTGAAAAAGCCAATAAAGAAATCCTGATATCTATTTATATAGTTTTTGAGACTAGATTGCTTGTATTTAAATACATCAGGACAATTATTTCTTTCTTTCATAGTACATAATGTTTTGTCAGAGATTGTGCAGAGAAGCCAGAAGTAACATTATTAAATCAGGGACAGAACAGGTGTGTTCTTTCTTCCTCCGGAGGAAAATTAATGTTGAGTGAAGTGTCAAGCTGGTGTTTTAGAATTGAAGATATAATATAATTTTTGACAAGCTTAGTCTTTTTCATCCTCTGTGCCAACACTTGATGCTACCCTACACCAGAGCACTCTGTAGGGAATGCTGTTTTCTGCTCTGTGCTTTCCCTTCCCAGTGTGTTGAGAATATTTGCTCTGAACTCATTGTTACAAAGTGCAATTGCCAAGCTCAGTGCCACACCTCTAAACATTGCTGTCAGTGGTGTCACAACATCAAAGTCCCTCATTATGAGGGACTTTTTTTTTTTTTTTTTTTTGAGAGCTAATGGTTCTCATCAGTTACAAAACTTAATCTGAGATGTAAAAGCAAATGTGCCAGAATGGAGCAAGGGCTGCTTCTAGTAGCTATAGCTTGGCATTGCGTGGCAAGAATTTAAGCTGTTTTGATTATTTTGCCCCAAATAATTTCCATTGTTCTTGTCACTTTTTTGCTCACAGTTTTCAGAGACAGACGTGTGGACAACTAGGAGATTATTACTATAATAGTTAAGGGAAAGGTACTGATAGGGTTTGTACACAGCTCGTTATTAGATTGCTGTGGTTTATTCTACCAGAGACCTGAATGTAGGACTAATACAGAAATTTTTTTTCCCTAGTTTAGGAAAAACAGGATATTTCCTCTCCATGAGTAAATCCATCACATTTCAGTTTGACCAGTATGATACTTTCACTCAGAAGCTGTAATTCTGGTAGCTGGTATCAGTTTAGAACGATGTTCCCGGCCACCAAATCTGTCAAGGACTTGAGGACCCAGCCACATCTACACACATTTGTATTTGTGAGCCCTCAAAACAGACTCTCTCTGTTGCTTCACTACAACTCATAAAATCTGTGTCATGTGCTTTGTCAGATATAAGCACCAGAGATAAGTATTTGTACAGTATTTTAAAAATGTAAGTCCTTCAGAAATTATTACTGGGATACCAGTGGGAATGCCTAAAGCTTTCCACGTCTTACTTTGTCTTTTGAACTCTGTAGTTATATTTTCACAAAACGCCAATGCAGGCTGTTGTAGGTGAATATGGGTGCATTAAGTGGGCATTTAAAACCATCCTTTTTTTCTGTCATTCTTCTGACTTTTGATTTTTTTGTCATAGCTTTTGCAGTTAATTGCAAAATCCCAGTTAACTTCACTGAGTGGTGCAGCACAGAAGAACTACTTTAACATTTTGGACAAAATTGTGCAGAAGGGTAAGACCTAAGGACTTGTAATCTGGCTGTTCAGATTTAATTGCTGTAACTAAGCTGCCAACTGATTTTTTTTTTTTTTATTATTTTTTTAAATTAATCAAGAGAAATGTACCTACTTTCTTGAACTGGCAGACTGCCAGAGACCTCTAGGTGTATTCTAAATTATTAATCAATTTAANTGGACAAAATTGTGCAGAAGGGTAAGACCTAAGGACTTGTAATCTGGCTGTTCAGATTTAATTGCTGTAACTAAGCTGCCAACTGATTTTTTTTTTTTTTTTTGTTAGTTTTATTACCATTTTTACATTGCAAGACATAACAATAGCATACTTAATTAGTGCCAGATTTCATACTTCCCATCCCATGACTGCAGTAAGTTATTTTCTCTTAGTTATTGAATAAAGTCTATTGAAACAGGTTGGTGAAATTAAGTGACCTTTAGATTCTATTAAACTATTGGTTACTGTTAAATTATACTCTTCACAAAATGTGAAAGCTTTTAGGTTAATGAAATGTTTGGGTTTAAGTTTTCATGATGTACTGAGACTCAAAAAACATAGATTTTGATTATTTTAAGAAAAAGCCATTACATTATATTGATTTTTATTTTTTTCTGCTAACCATAATAAATGGAGATGTTATACTGTCTGCTTTGAACTGAAAAAATTGGATTTATGGCTACCTGTTTAGCATTAACTTCATTAAATATATAGCATGAATTTCTGCATCAAATTTGCCTGTGAAATTGTTTATTATTGATCTTGTGCAGAAGGAATAACACCAATGAATGTCATGGTGGGAATTAGGGCAGTTATTTGTACACAAACAATTGAGTTCTAATTAACTCATCTTAAAAAACTGTTGATTAGCTTGGTTTTGTCTGTCAACCGAAATTGTATTTGGTTTGTTTTGTTTTCCAGTTATGGAAGACCAATATAATCCACGATTGATCAAAGATCTTCTACAGGATCTGAGTTCTACTCTCTGTATACTGATTAGAGGAGTAGGAAAATCTGTGTTGGTAGGCAACATCAATATTTGGATTTGCCGATTGGAAACTATCCTTCTGTGGCAACAACAATTAAAAAATCTTCAAATGAACAAGGTATATTATTAAGTCATATTAATTAATATTTGGGGGAGGGGAATTATGTTGAATATTGCATGAGGATTTGTAAGTGAACCAAGTTTCAAGTATGTTTTAAGCAGTTTTACTTGTTTTGTTTTATAAAGAAGTAATATGAAATTAACTCATTAGCATCAACTGAATTTTCTAATGTTTTAATAGCTTTTCTCTAAGGAAAACTGCTACAGTATCTGTACTGCTGATTTGTAATAGAGATGTATAGATAGAATTTGTTTTCCCTCTCAAATAAGTAAAAAAAATATTCTCTAGCTTTTCAGATAGACATGGGAAAAAGCCCTAGTTTTTAGTTCCAAAATAAATTTTCTAAAGCTGAAGAAATAAAAATCTAAAAGACACTTCGGAGATGTGTCAACTCAAGTAGCAATTCTACAGATTTATTCATTAGCACAGTTGCTTTTGTGAAAAAAAAGATAATTACTTCAGCATATGGATTCTCCTCATGTGGCTGTGTTCAAAGCATGTGGTATGCACTGGTCCAGGTGGAAACTTGTGATGATAAGCAGACAATTTTTTTAAAAATCTGACTGGGATATTCCTGGAAGAAATGCTGTAAGATATTGCTCACTGTAAAGTCATACGAGCATTTTATCTATTGTCTTTCAGCTAGGAAAGTTTGAAATTGTCCTTTCTGTGTGAACTGGTTATCTGACTAAACCTCTCCATAGAGAGGAGAAATGAGAAACCTGGTTTAAGCAGTTTCCATGTGCCAGGCAGCTCCAGTGCAGACACTTCTGAGACAGTGCAGTTACTGCTGCGCTTGTTTCCTTCCAGTGTGACCCTTCCTTTGGAGCTGTTTTACAGTGGCTGAAGTAGCCCCTGAGAAATGTTGCATCTTTAGTGCTCACATGCTCATTCCTCAGCAGAGGACAGCCCCAGCAGCACTTGTACCAGGTGACTCTGTGGAAAGCCTGGCCTATAAGCAAAGGGAATGAAACAGACAGAAGTGTGAGCCTGCGGGTGCAGGGCTGCTGTGCTGCCACCACCTTGTAGCAGGGCAGCTCTGCTCCCTGGGGCTGGCAGCTGCCCATGCTGCCTCCCTGCCAGCTGGGACCCTGCCTCCAGCCTGCTGGGCCTCTGCCACCTGGCACTGTGGGCTCCAGCTTTAGTCGTGTAGGAGCTGTGCTGTAGCTTACCCCACTACAGTTCAGAGGTCTGTAGTCTTAATGGAAACTTTCTCAGTGCTCTCATCTGTCACCTCTGCAGATCTTCTCATTTATAACTGAGGGGGAGCTTTTTCTAGACTTCAGAAATTATCCTGCTGTCTTCTACCTTTGACATCCAAAATGCTTTCATTTTCTATCTCTGGTCTTCAGTGCTGTATTCTATTCTGTACTCTAGTTGTCTTAAGGCAAGTTGACATGTGTTTGGTTTGTTAATAAAAATTGAGAAACTGTAGTGATCCACCAAGTTAGAAATAATTGATTCATGCCTTTATTATAGTTAAGACTTTAGCACACTGGAGATGGAATTGACTATATTATAATTTTCAAGACTGCATAATATTATTGTGAGAGAACAGAAGTGTTTCAAAAATTATTTGAAATTTAAGAAATGAATTTAGGATATGTTTATTTTAACAGTAGGAAAGCTATGAATTATAAAGCTTGCAATTTGTTGCTTCTTCTGTGCCATTAGTCATTTAAATTTTCAGTTAGAGAATAATTGTAGTCAAGCATTAACTGTAGATTTTACTCAATGATCTGAAAAAACTAAACTAAGACCTAAAATGCCTCTAAAGTAAATAATCTTGTTTGTACTTTGAGCTATCATGTTTTTGTAGCTAAAAGTTTTCAACTCTTATTTCCAGCAAGTCAACAATGGACTCACACTTAGCGATCTCCCTCTCCATATGCTGAATAACATCTTATACAGGTTCTCTGATGGCTGGGACATTATTACTCTGGGTCAAGTGACCCCAACTTTGTACATGCTTAGTGAAGACAGACAATTGTGGAAAAAGCTCTGCCAGTACCATTTTGCAGAAAAGCAGGTAATAAACTCTGTTGTATAAATGTAGACTTTTTGATGTCATATACTAATAATGGAGCATAAACTTGCCCTTTTTGAGATAAGTGTATCATTGTGCAGTAATCGTGAGTATTCTCTGTATCTGGGGCTTGATTCCTCCTGAATATTGCATTCAGTGTGTCTTTGAGTTTAGGGTAACTACTGAACTGTTTCCTTGCATTTGCTTTTAAAAATAATGCATTCACTTTTAAAAATAATATAAGGAAGCAGCCCAGTAGTTATACTGAGTTCACAGATATAATGAGTATATAACACAGAATGCAGTATTTAGGAGGAGTCAAGCCCCAAATACAGAGAATACTCACGATTACTGCACAATGATTGCAAGACAGGCTTTTTAAAAACTGCCTAACCAGTGTTGTAGAGGATACCTCTAAAGTGTTTTTCTGAAGTAGAGCTTACTTTATCAGCTAAGGTAGGCAGACAGGTTGCTCAAACTTTTAAGCTATATGAAAATTCTGGAGAAGCCAAATTGTCTTTTTGCTCAGAAGACTAGAACAAATGCTTTGAAATTAACAGAGAAACTGCTTTTCTGTCACTTCTTCATAAAGAGCATTAAATTAATCTAGGAATGACTCCAGAACTGTCTTCATTTTCTGACATTAATAACTGCTGGGGAAAGATCAGACTAGGTGAAAATAAACCTAAGAAAGTAGAAGATACCTGATCAGAGCTGGAGGAAGAACTTTTGAAACTTAGTACATTCTGTACTTGAGGAAGCTAAAGTGCCCATTCTTAAATCTGGCAGGTTGAATTTGCTTGGTGACTGCCAGATGAAGTATTATTGTAATGGGGAAGACAGAACTGAAGCTCAATTAACTCATGCACCATTGACCCGAATAAGAATTTTTTTTTTTAGTGAGATGAAAGGTTTTAGAATTAACTGTGGAAAAACTAAACAGAAAAAAGCAAACTGAAAACCCAGAAAAATTCAAGGTGGAGTTACAAAAATAACAAATTTAAGCTTATGTAGCAATTGAGTGGATTTTGAGGGTAGATGAGGTAAGCTCTGTTGAACAGTGACAAAACTGTTTAGAGAGGAACTTTTTATACTAGGGTAATGCAGGGAAAAAGATCCTTGAGGGTTTCAGTGAAATTAGCTGTCTCTGTGCTCCATAAAATACTCTTGTACACAGTGTTTCCAGTGTGTTCCTGAATGTTCACATTGAATTTCTTATTAAGTTATTATCTAATTATATTCCCATATCAAATTCTGCTTCTTCTCTTTAAAAGAGTACTGGCTTAATAAGCCACAGAATCATGTTAGGTTGTTTTTTTCTGTCCTCTGCAGTGTGTTTGTTGAGCCAACCATGAAAACAAAATTGATATCTGAAGAGCACTTTTGGAAAAAATGAGAGCCATTATGAAACAAAGTGAAGTGTAGCTGAAATCAAAAAGGCAGTGCTATTCTCTCCCCATTCAGAAATTGTCTTCTGAATGAAGAAAGCCCTCAATGTATTAGCATTAATCCACACTGAGTGGAACAGAAGTCTTTTATAATGCATTCTTAATAAACCTTGTCTGCCTCTCAAACTGGGGAGAAATAGCTGTAGTGCAGCAGCTAATCTTTATATGCAAATTAGGTCCTCAAGAAGTGCATCAATCACTAATTATTGCTATCCTTCTAAAAAGATCACAACCAAATGTGAAAAATAAACGTTATATGCTTTTAAAATTAAAGAAAGATCTTTATTTAAATCCATAAGGCTTTAACAGAAAGCCACTATCCGTAATGCACAATCATGTTTTTAAATCTCATTCCTGAGTGGTTTGGGTTTTTTTAAAGGATAGAATTAATTGCTTACAGCTCTAAATACTGTTTTGTTTAACACTTCTTGACTATAATTAGAATAATTTTGAGACAGTGGAATTAGATCAGCTGTGTATAGCCTAGTTTTTCTTGGCAAATATGCACGCTCCTATTTTTAGTTTTTGCCTTCCATCTTTTTTGTGGTCTGATCTCTCTCACTGCTTTGCAGAGATGTATGATGTCATAATATTGACTTCAAAGAATTCTAGTTACAAAAGTTCAGTTTAACTATCTTCCCTCCACCTTCCCCTGTCCTTCACCTGAATTGACTACAACAGTTTTAAAGAAAGATATTAATTTTATGTCCAGTTTTGTAGGCATTTGATTCCATCAGAGAAAGGTCACATTGACTGGAAGCTGATGTACTTTGCACTTCAGAAATATTACCCAATAAAGGAACAGTATGGGGACACCTTGCATTTCTGTCGACACTGTAGTATTCTGTTTTGGAAGGTAAGAGCTTGGAAATGGATAATCAGAAATAAGTTCAAACAGCTACTGGTGATCATCTGCAAGGAAAAATATTAAGGTCATCTTATCAGCTTTCTCATGTGAAAGGTGATTGGGTAACTAATATCTAACTTAAAAATAATATATGAAACTTCCATATAAAATCTGTGTTAAATTCTAAAGTTGTTCTTAATCTTGCCTCCTGATATCTGATAACCTCAATACTTAGAATTGCAATGAAAAGTGCCGTGTGGAAAGAGTTATTCTCTCTACTTTCATTAATTTGATCTTATGGAAAGTCGTGAGGGACTAGTCTGAAGTAAGTATTTTTAATGATGCAATGGTAATCAATATATGTCTAATGAGAAATAATGACTACATTTTTTCCTACCACATTGGTGTAGAGCTCTGTATTTTTATATTTTTGCTTCTGTCCCATATGAAGCTTGGATAAATGTTTAAAACTTCATCCACAGTGTATTTTGCCCTGGTTTTGAGGTTTACTGTGAAGCATATGTTGTCTTATAGGATGATTTTAATTTCAGTAGGGCATTGTCTTCTTTAATGTGTATGATTACATAATCCTGCTTTTACTCTGTGTTGCACTACAACAGAGCCTTCTAGTTAGTGAGACTTTAATTTTACATCTGAAAGATCAGATATGGGTAGTATTAAGTGGATAGCAAAGACCAAATACTCATATTACTCATATTCTAATTAACATAAATTAGTTGGTCTTGTGACATCTTTCTGTGATTTTTAGGAGAAGTTGTATGTCAGTGTGAGCTTTTTTTATTTTCCTTTTAAAAACCTAGGCTATTTAGCAGGATAAGCTAAGTCCTGCTGGAAATAGCATGTTTTCTTTAATCATGTTATCTTGAAGTTGAGTATTTTTGATATCACGGGAGCCCTTCCAGGTAGCAAGGTTTTGCAAAATTAATAATAGGAAAGCAGGTAGCCAGAATTGGCTTCTACTGTGAAAAGTCTGGGCATTTTATGAAGGATCTGTGTCAAGAACAACTAAGAATTTTCATTACAGTGGAATAAGTCTTTAGCATGTAGTTCAATATGCAGGATAAAGCCTCTGTTTGAAAGGGGAAATTTCCAAGTACACAGGTGCATTTAGATTGGCATTTGTGGTACCAGATTTCTCTGGATTGTCTGCCTCCACTGTGTAGAGTTAATGCTTTCTACACTAAATTTCTCTCATTTTGATCTTAGTATAATTGAAAGTACAAGTCTGTAATATTAAGAATTACTTTAAATGCGTTTGGAATTAAACATTTAACTTTAGAGATGGTGTGATAGTAAGAGACAGGTTACAGTAATATTCCAGTAGTAGATTGTAGTAGTCAAGGTGACAAGACATCTGTTCCAATCTACTGGAATAACAGGGCTTGTTTTAGACTTTTGAAGTCTTTGAAACACAGCCCAGGAAGTTTTAAAGGTACTTAGGATTGATGAGCCATACCTCCTCGATCCCCATTCCAGTCCTGACTAACTCATCCTAGAGATTTGGGCAGGTCTTAGTGACAGTGCAGTTGTAGATTGGTTGTGTGCTTCTGCACAAAAATACTGGAACGGGTGTTTGGGATGGGCTGTTTTAACAAAAGCACAGTCAGCAGGTAGAGGAAAGCCATTATCCCTTTTCATGCAGCACTCATTAGACCATCTGGGATACTGCAGTCAGGCCACAGCACAACAAAGACTCTGATAAACTGGATGAAGTTCAGGTGAGGGTCATATGATGAGGGAGGCTGGAGGACTTGCCCTGTCAGGAGTGGCTGGAGAAGACTCCTGCAGGGGGACACAGGAGCCTGCCATGAAGACACCCAAGCAAGGGAACAGTTTGACCATAGAGCTGATGCACTTTCCATCCTTGGATTTGATCAGGAACTGACTGAATAAAGCTCAGAGCAGGCTGGTCTGATCTCACAGCTTAGTCTGCTTTGAGCAGGAGGCTGGGCTAGAGACCTCCTGAGGTGCTTCTAGCCTGATCTGTGAGCCTACATTGCAATATTCCCTCTCTAGTCTTGGCATCTAAGCCTTGTCTCTTCTTAAAATAAATGATGATCAGGCTGAAGTGGATTGTCAAATGAATTGATTTATGCATAATTGGCACTCTTATTGGCAGGGGCAAGTTAATTGTTCATCTGAAATGATGTCCCTCTTTTTACAGGGCAATGTGGGTCAAGTAGTGTTGTTCACTCAGCTATATGGGGAAAAAAATAGTGCATTTTTTTTTCTCAGACTCTTGTCTATATCCTTTCCCAAGCTTGCTAAGGAGAGGTGAGAAGTAAAGCAAGGATGGGGGGCAAAGGGACAGGAGGTACTTTATTAATTCTAGATAAATCCTGTACTAGGTGAAAATATTCCTTAATAAGAAAGTTTTCAGGCTTAGACAATTTATTCAAGCTTCAGTATCATACTTGATTAGAAAGATTGTTAAATTAAATATGCATGAGTGCTTGACATACAATTATATCTGTAATGCATAGCAAGAAAAACCCAAAATAAGCAAAGAAAAAAACATGAAAATACTACCACCAAATCCAAACTTTGAGAGAAATCAGTTACTTTACAGAAGAAAAGTAGCAAGTGTTTGAATCTTGGAACAAATGGAAGCACTGTATTCTTCAGATACCTGATAATATGTAAGAAATTTGTTTCTTCTTTTAATGGTATAATTCAGAAAGCAGGCAAATTTTTTTTCTAAGGTCATTCAGAAGAACTTCAGGCAGAGCTGGAGACTGCTTCATAAGGCATCTATTTTTATTTTTCTTTCTACATTAAAGAACAAAGTAAAATATTGGAATAGTTGCAGAGGAAAAAAGTGCTAAAGTGATCAGGGCATGAAGAAGACTAGGAATGAATAATTTCTCTTACTCAGCTGTGTTAAAGCTAACAAGGAATGTGACTGCTCTCCATAAATTGTTTTTGGAGACAGAGAAGTGGTGCATAAGCATGAGACTACTTAGAGAAATTATTTACACTAAGGGACATGCTTGATGCAAGTAAATAATAATTTTGAGTAAGCGTGCTGAAAGTTAGGAGTTTCTAAGAACCAAAGCCAAAAGGATTGGAAATACCCCAAAAGCACAGGCCTAGCTAGTGATGAGAAGAATTTTCAGCAATTTATGAAATTTATAATATAATGTAATTGCTTGACAACGTGAGAGGCTACACCCAGGAAATTCTTGGAGCCCTCTGTTTTTTGTTCATTTCAAAGGAGGCCTTGCAAAAGAAGGGACTGATGGCTGCTGAATTGAATTACCTATTGAACTGTTGAAGTAGGGAAATTACTTTTCACTTTTTCAGTATGCTATAATAAACATAGTGGGGTTTTAATAAGGCTTTAGGATTTTTTCAGGAAGAGGCATTTGTATTCCTGTACTCGTCTAAAATCTGTAACCCAAGTACATCTATATATAGCATGTAGGAGTTTCCCAAGTTCTTTGTTGGAAGTACAGTGGCTTTTGTACTCTTCTGTGTTAGGAGGGAGTTATAAGAAAATTTTCATATTGAATGTCTGTTTTCAAAGTGACTTCTTGCTGAAGGATTTGTCCACGATGAAACTGAAAAAAACCACATTATTTCAGTAGTGCAAAAGTAATGACCAAGTATTGTGTGATACCTTTGTGAGTGCTTTTGTGTATACTATTTTTTCTGTTCCACTAGGCACCATTGCAATTGTGGCACATTCTTTTATTTTCCTAAGCTTACTTGGTAGCACTTTTCAGTTATCTCAGACACGGCCACAGAAGCTGAAGTACCTTTTCTTCTTTCTGTTTCCAGGGCTTTATGAAAACAGTGTAATCACTTCACATAACACTTGGTTTTAGTCTTCTTGTGATTTGTGCTGATTTTGGTTCTCATAAAGCTGCTTGTGATTCGCCACAAGAATAAAATACTTTTTCTAAATGGCTTATGAACCTTTGCTTAAACAAACCTTAACTCTGCTTCTTTTACTTTATGGCTCTCCTTCCTCCCTTCTTCACGATCTCAAAGGACTACCACCTTGCTTTGTTACTCCAGGTATTTCCTGTGCCTCCTCTGTTTTCATTGCTGACTGTTCTGTGATGTCAAAGTGAATAATGTGTTCCTTTCTAATTGTCTGATGCTCTTTGTTTTGATTTTTTTTGTTTGTTTCTGCACATCAGTTTAGCATAAGGAATAATTTTGTTTCTTGTTCCCTTTTAGATAAAGGTAGTGATTACTTCCTATCTCAGCTTTTCATCATTTTGTCTTTTATTATTGCCTTATTTCCTCTGAATGCCATTTAAACAAAGAGTTATAATTCAGTTTCTAATGAGCATAGGTGTCAGTGAGATCAGACAGATTTTGCTAAGAAATAGATTTCTCTGTACTCAGTCTTACTATAAACTGTTTTCTCCATTCCCTGATGTATTTAATTCAGTACTTAAATCTGAAGAGTAACATGTACCTCAGATAACTTTCATACAAAGGTACTAAAATTGATTTTATTGCACTTGGAATGCTGTAGTTGTATTTGCTTTTATGGAGAATTTCTCTGAAAAGAAATTCCCCAAAACCGGCTGCATGTGACTTGAGATAGTCAAGGGAAGCAATTATTTTGTTTCCCTCTGAATGAAGTAATAGTAAAAATACTTATACAGAGCTTCTTAATGTCTAGCTATGCTAAATTTTGAGGAAAACAACTACATTTGCCAGTAAATACTCCTCCTGGGGAATTGTATTCTAACTTTGAAGGAAGTGTGCTTTAGCTTTGAAACATTGAAATCGAACTATTTTAACACTTTATTAAGTGAAAATTTATTTCTCTTGAAATGAGGAATACTCATAATTGCAAGAAAGTTATTCTTTTCAGTCCTCATCACTTCTTTCACTGTAAAATTTGTGGTGTTTTCAATAACTAAAAACACCAATAACTGATCTTTGAGATTTTTATTGCACTTGTAATTCCCAACTGGGTGGAATTTTGAAAAGTGTTTTTATAATGATGTGCAGAGAAATCAGCATGTTACAAACTCAGTCTAAAATATACAAGAGTACAAATAAGTACTAAAAGAGGAAAAACGCTGCCTTGTTTCCCAGAATTATAATTCTGATGGTGTTTTTTCCTGGAAACTAGGAAAGTAATGACATGACATTGACATGGCAATGGGTAGAGAAGATAATAATTCATTAGCCACTACCTTTAAGAGTGTTTTCTGATGTGGTGCAGCTCTTGCAGATGTCATCTCAAGATGAAGATGTTAAGTTTAATACTTCTGATTTTGGTCTTGGTCATCTGCTCTTTCTCATCTGCAGATTCCCCCAATAGGCAATTCTACCTGTGTCTCTTTTTTTGTGTGTGTTTGTCTTTCCTTCTGTGTCATGAATCTAACAACTGTTTCTCAGGTGATGTTACAGCAATTATTAAAAAGAGTGGGAGGATGATGAGGTGATACCACCTGGTGTATTCTTCTAGTCCTCCACAGACTTAGAGAAACACAGATAATAAATCTATCAAGTAACAATTTTCACTGCAAAAGTTGCACAGTATTTAGAATGTGTTTCACCTGGTGCACTTGGGTGCTGCAAAGACTTTGGGTGGGAATGTGGTAGTGAAAAAAAAATCACTTCGAGATTCTTTGCTTCTATTTAGTGAATTGCATATAATTTCATTTCCTATGGAAACCAAAGCAATGAAGACCATAGTAGTCTGTGTTCTATTTGCCATGTATTTATCTGGTTTTCTTGCCTTACATGGTGCATTTATCAACATTGGTGGAAAAGGGACAGAAACTCCTGAAAGTCTGGTGAGGACACTTCTGAGCCTTACAACAACACTGACAAATTGTTTAACTTCTCCATTGAACTGTCTGGGAATTTCTTGTCATGACACCTCTGCACTTCCCTCATTTAGGGGTTTTTAATAAGATGTAAAAAAAGAACTATTTTGTTCAAAGAGGAATTTGAATCTTAAATAATTAGACAGTTCTGCTGAGGTCAAATTTCTGTAAGAGGAAAGAAAGCAGTGCAGGCTTAGAGAATTTGTAATGACAAAGCCTTTCCACCCTGTCTAACTTCTGTATTCCTGCCTTGCCTAGGTGCCAACTTCTGTTTTTAAGGCAGTGCTTTCATTTCCCTTGTGGAAAAGGTAGGAGTGAAAGATGAAAGAAAGTTTGGGGAAAAAATGTAGCAAGGTAGAAAAGCTTTTAAGACTGGGAATTCAAACACACTGCTCAAGTTTTTTGAAGAAGTAACTGCTGCCCATCATTTTCAAAGCAAGGGACTAATTTTCTCCCAAAGAAATAGATTAATTAATGTTTTGATTAAACAGATAATTTAGACTCAACAAAGCAGGTGACTTTTTCCCTTTTGTAATGCTTATCAAAAAATAATGGATAAGGAAGATGATACTGTTTCAAGGACTCCAACTCAGGTTCTGGTTTTGGTAGAAGGAGAGAATTGTTCTTGGTTGTTTTTTTTTTTGTTTGTTTGTTTGTTTTCTGTTTGGTTGGGTTTTTTGTTGTTGTTTTAGGGTTTTTTGGTTTTTTTTGCCTAGATTGGGGGTGAAGGGAAAAGGGAAACTGGATATGGAAAGAGAACTTACTTATTTTTCTCCTTCATCTTTCAGGATACAGGACACCCCTGCACAGCCAGTGATCCAAACACCTGTCTCATGCCAGTATCTCCTCAGCATTTCATTGATCTCTTCAAATTTTGAGATGTTCAGTAGCTGTTCTCCTGTGTTTGTGGCCATTTTTGTGAAGAGTCAGGCAGGATGTGTAACGCTTTTTGTGCAATATATTTAAGTGTAATGTTTTACTGTAATTTAAAAAATATATAGGGGAGATTATCAGAGAGGTTCATTTGACATATTGCTTTTGTGCAGAATAAAGAGGAGGAAAGGAGAAACATTAAGAAAATTTCGTTGTCAGGAAATCTCCAGTGGACTTTTTTTCAAGTCCAAGAAAGGCCACTTAATCTCAACGTTAAATCCATGCTTTTGACGCCTTAATAGTTGGGTAAAATTATGTAGGGGAGTTTTGAAAATTTCATGGAAGAATTAAACTACTCTTGCAGGGACCAAAGGAGGGGTGTTTTTGTTAATCCTTCTTTCTATAAGCCATGGTTTTCAAAACACCTCTGTATAATTTGCACTATTATAAAGAATAGGCCAATATTATCTTAGACTCTTAAGAAGACGGCATTAATTATTATGAGCTAGTGAGTAAAATATGAGTGTGGTGATATCTGCTGTTGAACCTATATGAATGAAGGAAATCAACCAATTTTTGTACATATGTTATGCAAAAATATTTATTTTTCTTAAGGACTTTATTGAACATTTGACCTATCTTAGCACATCTTGCAGAACCCGTGAGACCAATCTGGGGCTACTGGAAATCTTTCTGATGGTAGCTACAGCCTTCATTTATACTGTTTGGAAAATCTACAAGTGCAACTGCATTAATTCATCTTCTAAGAAGAAGACGTTAAAATTTAATGAGGATGGAATTGCTTGTTTCTAGACTGGTACAGTGGCAGAACACTATGCTACTAACTGGGGTTCTAACCTGACAAGCTATGGGAAGCACTGAAAGTCAGTCTGAGCTGGAGCACCTTCTGCCAAGTTAATCAGATGATAAATTATCCAGGAAGCTATTTTGTTCTATCCCATAGAACAAAATAAATTGCTTGGTTTAAGCAGGTAAAGGAAAAATTATGGAAGTTTTGGATTTGCCAATGAAATTTAACAATATGTAATGTACAGAAAAAATAAATCACGTACAATATTCTGCACTTGCTTGTTCTGAATCCAGTTTTGTACAGTGTAATAAATCATGGTTTTATCTGTTATTCCTAGAAGCCTCTGGTGCATAGAGATGAATCAATTTGAATTTTGTAAGATCTTTCTGTAACCTGTTGTCTATAGTAATCGGTAATGGAATGAGAAGCATACAAGGACTTCTAGTGCTATTGCTTTACAGTAGTTTGTTGTATTAGCCCTTTTTGTAATAGCAGAGCAGTGACTGTTAATCGGCTGCACAAGAAGAGGAGAATATTTATGTCCTCAAAAATAGGTTTATGTTAACTTAAATCTTGGTAATTTAATTGCTAATTTTTGTGGATTTTTCAATACAGGGTTTTGTGGATTTTTTTTTCTTCCTTTCAATTCAGATGTTGGCTGTGGCAATAGTAATGGTCAAGGACCTCCCTTCTTATTCCTGTTCATTCAGAGCATTGCTGCAAGCCTTGCTTCCCCAGCCAAGCACTGCTGCAGCCACTGGATTTGTGGCTGCCCTTCTTTAACAACAGTTTGTACCCCATTTATTCAATTCCTGTAACAGCTGAGATGCTTTCCTATGTCTGTGACCTCAGTAACCCTGACAGTAGCTGGTGATGGCTGACATCTACAAATCACTCCCTTATCATGGTTACAGTTTTGCTACTCTGCATAAAACTTCCTGTAACTATATGGATGCTTTCTCTGAGAGCTTGAAAGAAAGGGTTTAAGGTCAGCATTTGGTTTAATGCTGCTGTGAGCTCTTGCCCCTCATGCTGAAGGCCTCTGCTGAGGGACTGTGCAGAACCATCTCTTCTGCAGACAGAGGGCAAAGCTCTTGCACTGTGACCTGAGAGCTGCCCAGCACTGAAAAGACAAATAAGGTGACAGCTGGGGAAAGGTATTAAGAGAGCTGAGAGGAAACCTCTGTCCTAGCCACTGAATTGAGGAGGGAGCAAAATTACTTTAAGGTCTTATAAGCTATTTTAAGACAGGTGTGGAAAGAAATCAGTATCTGTAATAACTAATTTTCTGTTCTCTTAGAAATGTCAGGTGACAACAGTCAGGCTTACTCTCCCTTTCACTACTTGTCTTGCTCTTTCTTCAGTAGCAAAAAACCTTAGACAGGCTGAAGGTTAAGTTCTGAGATCTGTTCCTGTGTGTGGGTACTCATTTAGTATTACCAGGGTGTCCCATTAGGCTGCAGGAGTGAAGATGACAAGAAGCAGGACTCTGCCTTAAGAGGCATCATTCTACTCTCACAGGTTGGTTGATGGTGGAAGGGACCCAGCTGAAGCAGGGTCAGCTAGAGCTGATTGTGTAGGAGTTTATCCAGAACTGTGTCCAAATGGCTTTTGACTATCTCCAAGGAAGGAGACTCCACAGCCTCTCTGGGAAACCTGTGCCAGTGTTTGGTTATCCTCACAGTAACAGAGCATTTCCTGATGTTCAGATAACACCTCCTCTGTTCCAATTTGTGCCTCTTGCCTCTGGTTCTTTCAGTGCCCACTGACAGGACCTGGCTCCCTTCTCCTTCCACTCTCCCTTCAGGTATTGCTAGATGGTTAGATCCCCATGAGCCTTGTCTTTTCCAGGTTGAACAGTTCCAGTTCAGCTTTTTCTCACAGGACAGATGCTCTAGTCATCTTTTCTTTACACCTTTAATCATCTTTATGACCCTTCATTTGACTCCCTGCAGTAGGTCCCTGTAGCCCACTAACCTTATTTGTGTCAAGGGCGCATTGCTTGGCTCATGTCCAGGTTGGTGCCCACCAGGACCCAGCTAACCCCCAGTCAGCTTTGTGAGCCAGCATCGTAGCTTTTTTTTTTTTCCAGAGGAAAAGAGGAAAGAGGTGGGAGAAGAGATGTGCACAGATGTGCAGAGAGGCATTTCAGTTAAGGACTTTAAGAAATCTTAAACACTTAATGCAAAAGCACATTGTCCTGAGCAGTGTTAAAAGCTTTTAACACTGACAAAACTGAGCTTTGGGAACAGTTCCACAAACTCGTTAAGTATTTAGTAAATACATTGCTTAGACTAAGCAAATAAGAGCTTGATTAAGAGTGACTGTGTGAAGTCATCAGATGCATAAGAAGATACTTTTCAATTGTGTTATTTAAGCAAAAAAAAGCTAAGGCAGTGATTTTGGTTGTAGGGCTGGTGGTGGTTGGGTTTTTGTGTTGGTTTGTTGAGTTTTTTTTATTCAATCACATAAAGAGTGGGGGAAGGATTTCATCTTTAGGATAACAATCTTGTTAATACCTCACCTGAAGCACAGAACATATTTTGACGGTCTGAATTCATCTCCTTTTCCTTTATTCCAGCACTTTCTCGTGTAACCTAAAGCACTGTAACCATGAGAAGTGTTATGCCTTAACGTGAAACCTCTGCTCTTTAGGCTCCTGTGTGATGCTGTCCCAGGAGGAAAGGCAGGCACTCCCCTGCAGCAGAAAGGGTACCTTGAAATGTGTTCTAAATCTCTGCAGCAGAGGTTTCTTTTGCACCACAGCTTTTTTTTCCCACCTGGATCTCCTTATAAACAGATTTTGCAGTGGCAATTGTAGGAAATCATGTTTTAACTGTGGCCCCTCCCTGATCACTTCCCAATCCTGGGTGATTTGGCTTTTAGTGGATTTTAGTCCTGAGAATACCAGTTCAAAGGCAATCATGACATTCTCAGCCATTGTCCACAAGGAGCTTGAAATTACAGTTTTGTAAAACAAGATCTCCCAACTCCCCAGTCACTGCCTCCCAAACCTGTTTCTGAGAGATTCCTGGCTTTTTTTATTACATTCTCTCCCAACAGCTTTGTTCACCTATTTCTGGGGAAAAGACACTCTGCCATGGACGTTCTCCAAGAGCACTGTGTGAGCCTTTCTCCTTGGATGTCAGATAGGACTAGGCTCTTATCTGGAAAAAACAGAGGAGTGGGACCTTTTCCCCTGTTCCTCATCCCTGAGAAATGCATTAAGTAGCTTTAGGAGAAGGAAAAAGTTGAACTTCAAGAAAACACCAAGCTTAAACCAAGAGCTCTCCACTAGTATTAAAAGACTAGTGGCCCTTTTGCAGTCTAGAAGGCAGAAGCAACGAGGCCTAGCAGGAAGGAGCAGGTGAGATGGCGAACAGCAGCATGTTTTGGATTTCATGGTGCACAAATTAGCATATTTACAGCTCCATCATTTGCAAAGAACTTAGAGGAAGGCTAGACCCTTAATATCCAACTAAAGTTGCTTGAATTGGCAGATAGATAGATACCTGCATTAAATAAATCAGTATCAAGTGTTTGGAGACAGTTGTTAAATCAGAGTTTAGAACTGAAGCATTAGCTGATTATGCTATTTGCTTGTCTTGTTCTTATACTTCCATCTGCAAGGCTCAGGTCCAGCCCCTCAAGGACACTGGAACATAATTCCCAGCAAACATTCCTATAAAGTTTGGTAGGATGAGGGTTACCATTAATGCTTAAAATGTCTATTGAAGGACATGACAGATAAGTGGATCAGAACATGAGAGGTGAGAGTAAGGGTGGGTTCCTTTCTGTTGATTCCCATTGGCAATCCTCTGTGTCACACACAGACCTGTCCTTCTATCTGTCAGATATGATGGTAATGCTTATTTCCTGCAAGGTTATGTGTACGTTCTTCTACAACTATGAATAAAACATGTTCAGTTTTGGTATTTGTTGCACTTTATAGTCATTGTGCCTTCAGCTGAAAGTTTTTCTAACAATTTTCAGGGCCTACACCAACAGCCACCACTTAATTCTAAAATTTACTTACTTGATTTTTATATGCTCTTCCCACTTGAATGCTATTTTTCTATAGTATTTATAGAAAAACAATAATGGAAGAATAACTTGTTTGCTAAAGTCAGTTATCATTCCCACATAATGCTATAGAGATAGCATTCAAGATATAGAACAAAATTTTGGTCCCTATTATTCTCTTAGACACAGCCATTATTTTTAGCCCTATTCCTACTGGAAACCTTTAAAGCTGCAATCCTGCACTCCCTTCTGAACTCAATGGTATCCCCTTAGAACTTGGTGAATTTATAAATTTGATGAATAAAAATTTTGGCAACATTTTCACTAGAGCCAGATATGCTTGACCATAATGCAGCAGCTCCTGCAGTTGCATATCCCAGGCTGCAGCTCTGCTGTTTTTGCTTACACAGCTGCACAGTGAACAGCCTGATCCTGTGCCCTTCCCCTGCTCTTACACTGAAGCCTGACCATGTTTAAGCAGCCGTGGGCAGAAGCGAGACCACCACTAAGGATGGGTGTTGCTCCAGGGCCTAGTTCAGCCCCCTCACTGCAGTAAATTAATCCTACCACCACTTAAACTCTTGCTGCAAGCTGCCCATACGCTTTCTGCTGATCCTATGTTTCTTTGGCCACCTGCACTCACCTTCTACATTTTTTATCAACTTAGTCTAATTTATAGGCAGAGTAGTATGGAATAAATCTGGATAAGTGTTTGGTGGAAGTTGAAGAGCACTAATACTACAAACAAACAGAACTTGCTGTTTGTACCTTTGCTCAGGGGATGTTTCTTTCAGTTGCTCATCAAAAGCCAAAAGTCCTGGTCTTGAATAGGAACACCTGGCCTAATAGTAAATATTGGTACTAACAGCTGTAAGAACATTCCCAGATGTTCTGGACTTCTTATAGTGTGCTTCATTCCTCAGTGCCAGACCATCAACTCTTTCCCTGGTCTTGCAAGCCCTTTCCAGGGCATCCAGTCCTCACTGCACAGCTCAGGAGCTCAGATCCTGCACTGTGGCTGCAGCTGCTGCTCACCCTGGCCCACAATAGTCTGGCTCTCAGGCAGGGAGCACTGAGGCAGCCATGCTGTGCAAATGGGTTACTGCACTTAAGGATTAGTTTATAAAATGAAAAAAAGATCATGTCTATTTTTCATTAAGTGTCTAACTTTCAAAGTAACCCTGTGTGCAGATTTACTCTATCTGTAATATGACTCCTGGGAATCTTGTGCTTCATCCCATCAAACAATGGTTTACTTCCTAATGGGAAGTGATGCTTGACTTGTTTTCCTTTTTTTGTCCTATCAAATGTTGGTTGCCAAGTTTCTGTCCAAATGCTCAAAAGATAAACTGTTTACAGGCACTACCAAAACTGAAGGCATTTCAGCCTTAAAGGGAGGTGTTGGTCTTGAGAGAAACACCAAAGTGTGTCTTCATGTAATCAGGATGTCTTTGCATGTGTGACCCCTTCTAAAAAGTACAAAATAAAAGTACAAAAATACAAAAATAAATCAAAGAATAATTAACATTAATCATCTTGCATATTTAGAAAGCTTTAGAAAGTAAGCTTTAGCAGAAAAAAAATAATATGACAGGTACAGTAC